TAGATAGATAGATAGATAGATAGATAGATAGATAGATAGATAGATAGATAGATAGATAGATAGATAGATAGATAGATAGATAGATAGATAATTGTGGCCATTTTTTTGCATTTTCTAAAGTCAGCTAGGAACTTCCTGCTCTCAAGATTGACTGAGAAAGGAAAATGTCAGACGACTTGGGGTTGCCTCCGATCTCTTATTGCAACATAGAAGTGCAATGGAGGAGCTTTTGCAGACAGAAAATTGATGAATACATACAATCAAAATTTTCAAGCTGAACTTGGGCAATCTATTGGTGCTTGATATGTGTTTTTAGGATAGGTCTCGGCTACTACCATACCAAATATTAGCTCAATATCTATTAAAATGACTTTTTCAAAGCCATTTTGTGTTTTCTAATGTTGATTAGCTGTGGTGGTCATCTTGAATTGGGCAAACTCCAGAAGTTTATTGGTTGGTCATGACCAATAATGTACCAGCTACATTGCAAAAGTCACATTTTAAAGTATTACATATTATGACAACAGGGTTTTACACAGTAATACACAAAAATACTTTGACAAACTCTAAGTGCAATGCAAGAAAAACAAACTGTTGAAAGTAAAAGAATGCTTCTTCATTTCATTATCTTTTGAACCGACCTGTCTTTGGCAGCCCTCCACGATAATGAGTTTCTGTTGTGGAGATGTTCTGGCAAAAACAATCTCAGTGTGGTACTTTAAGATGTCATCAAGTTGCTCTGCTGTCAGATCCTTCAGGTCACCACCATGCACAACACAAGCCTTGGCATCTCTGGGAAAAATTGTAAAAAATGGATGGAAGTGTTTCGATTTGAAAGCTTTACCTTCTGCATGCTTCTTGCCATGTTTAGAATGAAACAGGACCCAGTGGGATTCTCGAAACACTAAACTCTATACCTTGGATTGACTTCATTGATTGGGATGTTCAAACGAGCAGCGATGTCCTCGACAGTCTCGTTACCCTCAGAGATGATTCCCACACCCTTAGCGATGGCCTTAGCAGTGATTGGATGATCACCTGTCACCATGATTACCTGTGAAAGCAGAGAGAAGTTTGTGTGTAAGTTTAATCAGTTTTCTCATTTACAGTTGTGGTGAGAAATTTTGATCCACCCATCGTGGGAACAAATGTCACATTAATTAGAAGCTTTTCATGTTTTATTTGAATCTTTCTTTTTCCATGGTGAAATGGTCATATGGCAAACAAATATAAAGATTTTTAAAAACAAGGATTGGGAGCACCAATACCAATTCACTGTGAATTTGTTGTAAATTTTCCCAAGCTCACAAAAGGTCAGAATTATACCATGGCTAGGATGACTAAGATGTCAGATGTTTTTCCAGTTATCTGTTGGAGCCACTTCTCCAGCATGGGAGCCACTGCCTTGGGTGCTCCAATGACCACAGACTCTACAGTTGCCTTTACCTGCCAGGCTTGTTCTGACTCTTCCCTGAGCCCTTGGCATTTCTCCAGTTTCTCGTGTTCCTTTTTCCTGATGTTTCCATCATTGAGGATTGCCGCATCAACCCCAAAAGCTGCCCTTTGCTGTTTATCAATGATCACCATGTCCAGTTGGTTGTCCTTACCATCTTGTCTATTTGAACCTGGAGGTCCCACAAGATCTTAGCTGGGTCATTATCCACCACCTTGGGATGTGATTCCCAAGGTGGTGGATAATGACCCAAGTGATTCCTAGGGGTCTCCAGTTCGTACTCCACAGATGTTTCTGTACACTATACCAGCCACCTGGTTATGGCGTTGCATGTATTCCTTTCCTGCTAGTATCTTGCACCTTGCTGTGAGATGCTGGATTTTTTTTTTTGGGGGGGGGGGGGGGGGGGTGCTCCATTGCACAGCTTGCACCTGGGATCTTGCTTGGTATTTGGGCCTCAAAATTTTTTTGTGTGTTCAAGGCCTGCTCCTATGCTGCCATGATCAGTGCTTCTGTGCTGTCCTTCAGTCCTGCCCTCTCCAGCCTTCGGTAGGATAGGTCATATCAGCCACTTCAGGCATCTGTCGAAGGCTCCATTCCATCCTACCATGGTGATTCTGTCAGCTCCAACTCTTACAGATTTCACTGTCTGAGACCTACAACACTACTAAAAATTTAGGGACTATGCTTTAAAGCCAGGTCTGCACCAGAAATCTAAACAATTTAAATTAACTCTCCAAATTCTGCCATCATAAATGACCCTTTTCCACAAATGCCTCTATGGCACAGTTCAACTAGGCCCAACTCTATTCAGCACAGTTTAGGCGGTTTTCCATTACACTTCGGTAACAGCTCTAGTGGGTGGAATAATCGTAAAACTGGGTGGTTCCAGAGTCTGAAAATTGACGCTACATGCCTTACCAGCTAGTAGTGGTTAAGTGCCAGTAAACTATTTGCCAGCAACCAAAAACATACTAGAAGAAGACCCAGAAAAGATACAACAATGGAAGACATAGTAGCATTGTTATTGCAATTGGTGGATTGAGTTGTTGTAAGAGCAGCTATTGTTGCACAACCAGTGACTCCACCCCCTAACCAATCAGTGATCGACAGTCAACTGACGTCACGTTTTCAGGCCAGCACGGTACACTTGGAACTGCAGCAAAGAACGTTCCGAAAAAAAGGGCTGGTTCCACAAATCCTTAATAGTGGAAAAGACTTGGAATCGTGGAGAGTTAAGTCGAACCATACTGTAGAGGCGCTAGTGGAAAAGGGGTAAAAAGAGTGGTCAAATATCAGCCAGAATTCTGCCAGAAGCAGATGGATACAAAAAAAAAAACCTGTGGTCCAGGTGCACCATCCCTTAGTGTAAAAAAATCTTTGAGATCATATGTCGAATAATCATTCCACCCTGGATAAGGAGTGATTTGGATGACTCATAAAAAAAAAACAATAACAAAAAACAAAACAATAGCAAATATAATTATGTTAAAGTAAATTATTGAGCTCTGAATGTGTGTTTTACAGCCAAAAGGAGTAAACAGCCCACCTTAATTCCAGCACTCCTGCATTTGCCCACGGCATCGGGCACTGCAGCACGAGGGGGGTCAATCATAGACATAAGGCCAATAAAGCACAGGTCCTGGATGGGGAAGTTCACTTCATCAGTGTCAAACTGAAAGTCCTCAGGGAACTGCTCGTCAGGCAGGTTGAAGTGGCAAAAACCTGGTTGGTGGGGGGAAACAAAGGCGCTGCTCGAGTTTCAGCTCGGTTCATCAATTCACAAACATAATTACCAGGAGCCGGCTGCTCTCACCAAGCACTCTCTCTCCGAGACCTCCCAATTCAAGGTAGGCATTCTGGAAAGCATCTTTCATCTCGTCGTCCAGAGGCTGCTCTTTGCCCTGCATCATGATGGTGGAGCAGCGGTCCAAAATCCTCTCTGGGGCTCCTTTCATCACCAGCAGGTGCTTTGATTCTGCATCAGGTGCAGTATTCTTGTGAATGGAAAGCTAAGAGTGCAAAAAAGAAGAAGGCTAGATTAAGCATTTCATGTGCTGTGGGTTTGATTTTTCAACAATTGCTAAAGAAAAATACCAAAAATCTGGGTAAACAATATCACAGACAAGCAAGTATGAATGTTAAAGTCTTTAATTGTCATTTGAAATGTTCAAATAGCTTATCTATGATGTAAAATGTATCAATCTGTAACAATTACCCAATTTATACCAGCTAGCAGAGCTAATGGCTCTCTAAAAAAAGGCCATCAGGCATTGATTAATGTAAAAACAAAATGATTTCACTTAATGTGCAATAGGTATACTCATTTTGAAATGGGAGATAAATGGGAAAATGCTATTTGAAAGTCATTCCTCCAGGTTTAGTAATAAAAAGAAAAACTGTGTGCGTAGCACACGGCGCATGCAACTTTTTGCTTGTTTATACATGAGGCCCCTGATGTTTAACAGCTTATTTTAAAATTAAAACTCCTTTATTAAACAAAACTATCAAGTATTCCAAGCTGAAGAGTGGAGAATTACCTGGTATTTGTTGGTGGAGTTGAACGGAATCTCTGAGATTTTAGGGCTTTTCTCTCTCATTTCCTGGACTGATCCACAGCAAAGCTCGATGCACTTCAGCAGAGCCGACTCCGAGGCATCACCGGCCACATCTCGCTTTTAAAGAAAGATTAAAAAGGATTAATTACAGGTATGTAAGCTAAAGAGCTTCAATTGGATCACTAAAAACTGATTGTTATATTTGGTTTGTGAAGTCAATTCCAGTGTGAGTGCAAGAACACCATCTCCACAGTCAAACACAAAGATGGAACCATCCTGGTTTGGGACTGTTTTTTCAATAAAGACACTATCTCACGAGGCTGTAACTGGAGGAGCCTAGATGGAGACTGAAAGTTGTGGTTTGTCTTACTGAATTCCAAATGAGTTGCAAATTTAAAAATATAAATATATCAGTTTATTGTCATGTGCATGGCTTGCATAACTGTATTCTAGACTAAGCCTGTTATTTTGTTGCCCACCTTCGCCCACACCATACCATCCATGGGCTGCTGTGTACAAGTTTATGACACTGCTAAAGAACACTTTTACAACAAAGATAAGCAGATATGGACTAATTCCATAATAATAAATATTATCTGTGTGTTTTTTAAACCTGGAAATTGACCTCGTGTTTTTTCTCAAAGGAGAATTTCTATGCACGTCAAAAATAAAGCTCTAGTGTTCTTAAGATGGGTTGGAGACAGTTGCAGCTACCGATATACATTTGTCCCAAAACATACCGGAGTGGCTAAAGATGCAACAAATTATGGCCATAGCCTAAGCAGACCTCACCCCAGAGGAACCTGAAAGACTCCAGGGGCGGTTCTAAGGGCGGGGCCACAGGGGCATTGGCCCCAGCTGAAATCTGATTGGCCCCCTGAAATGCCCCTGTCCTGTCACTCATCTGTCCTTTACCTGGGAGTGATGATGGTGGATGCAGTTCCACGTTCAAACACTAGTTGAGTTAATGAGTCAAATAGTAAAGTCCAGAATGAATCAAGCTTACAGAATTCTTCTTCTCTTCTTAAAATCTGAACAATCCTGCAAAAAAATCTTTCAACTGATAAATGATGGCTGGATTTTCACACATGTTGTGTGTTTGAAAATATTTCATCCATGTACAGTAAAATGTATGAAAAACTGGTGAGGAAAATTTACTGTGCAATATTTTTGGTACCACTTTACAATCAAGCTCCAATTATAGATGGCTTATAAAGAGTTTATAGATAGGTTATTAATTCATTTGTAAAGTTTACACTTCATTAATAAATAAAACTGGACAATTTTGTCTTTCTTGTCCTTAATTATTGCATAATAAAACATTTATTAATAATTTTAAAGTGTTTACAGATTAATTAATAACCTATCTATAAACTCTTTAAAAGCCATCTATAAGGGGAGCCTGACTGTAAAGTGGTACTTTTTTTTTTAATACATTACATTACAAGTGTTTGAAGTGTAAAATGTATATATTGGGAATTTGTGTGAAAGGACGTTGAACAAAGACTTGGCACCTCTATGAATATTGTGGCCCCTTGATGGCCCCTTACTCAGAAAAATCCTAGCTCTGCCACTGAAAGACTCTGAAAGCTTCAGTTGGTAAGATTGGCCAGAGTCCTTCCAGAGATGTGTCCTTTTCATCAGCTACACGTAACATCTTACCAACTCATGTTTCGTCAATATGTACCAAGTTGTGTTTTGCTTGAGGATTGTCAGGGAAAGAATTAAATGAATTTTCTGGGGGGAAAGAGGGCCCAGCTTATATGTTTTTATTAGAAGTAAAAACCTCAACGGAACATCCTGGAGTCATCTAAAGTTGATAGCAAAGAAGGTTATCAGACTTACTTATGTCACTCCAAGATATTCAAATGAATTTTTGACTTATGTTTTATTCTGCATTTTAGTTGATTTTCTGGCTTATTTGCCTTAAAAACGTCTTACCCCCTCACTTTTCCTCCATGTTGTTTGTATTCATCCACCAGTAAAAGAAAAGTTCAGAAAGGGCCAATTTTCATTTCTTTCTCCCCACGTAATTATAGACCTCGATAAAAATACCACGTTTTCCCTCCTCACGCACTTGTAACAGTGACTTCAAGAAAAATAATGTGGTGAACAATTTGATGTGGTAATTATGATCCCAGCCAGACATTTACAGGTGATTAACACACAGAGGTTTGTTTTTATAACCCTGTGGGGACCGTGGATTGACTTCCATTCATTTTTTGGTAATGTCATAGCCTAACCCTGACCATTCACCCAAAAATTAACCTCTCAGGTACCTACCTGACCCTAAAACTAACCTCACAGGTACCTACCTGACCCTTAAACTAACCTCACATGTACCTACCTGACCCTAAACTAACCTCACAGGTACTACCTGACCCTAAAACTAACCTCACAGGTACCTACCTGACCCTAAAACTAACCTAAACTCAATTCACACCTTGGTCCTAAACCTACCCCCCCCAACAAAATTAACATCTGTACCCATGGGGACCACGCATTGGACCCTACGAGGCTGCCTTTTTTTTTTTTAGAAATGCGTTCCCATGATGTAGCAAAAACGTGCCCAAAACACACACAAATGTGTTAACTGGGTACATAAAAGGGAGGAAACCAAGGCCAGACTCAGGAGACCGTTTCAAAACTAAGAAAGGAGCATGTGTGTTTATGTTATTGAGGGGAGGAGTTCATAGTGGTTGTACTGTGTGTACACTCTGGAGATTTGATGCTGAAAACAAATCTGAATGTCAGAGAGGTAAATACTCAACCAAACAGTCAGACTCCCACTTCTTTTTTTATTTTGTTAAACATTCAAAACCACATATGTTAAACTGAAGGTCTGCAGGCCAGACCAGACATTTGCTCCAACTTTATCCAGCCTACAAGACACATTTTAACTACCGGTGTACTAGAAGCGGCTTGCTCATTTGTGGTAGATTGAGCTTTGTTCAGACCAAATTCCTGTTAAGTTTTATTATTTTCATTAAGAGTTACTATTAAAAAAATAAGAGTTACTATTAGCATAAGCCAGTGGTGGGCAAGGTAAACCAAAAAGTTTAAATCATAACCCGTTAACTAAAATTATAGCTTCGCAAACACTAAACTGGTAGATAATAAAAATTAAGGTAGCGCAACTCTGTTTGCTGCATGACCAGTTTCACCTGTTCCCCCATGTTTGTCATGTGTTTTCATGAATGGGTGTTTAACTTCTCCCTCCCCCCGTCCCTGATTGTACAGCACCTTGTGAAGATATTTCTGTGAAAGGCGCTATATAAATAATACTTACTTACTTAATATTAGCAGAAGCTTACACTAACAGCTAATCGCTAACTGCCAAGACATCTCAATCTGCATCACGCATCTTCATCTCCTTCCAGCTGAAGACTGGTGGGACTGACCCAAACCTGTTTATGTTAGTTTGGTAGTTAGCTGTTAGCGGATTTAAAGTTGTCTAAAATCTAATTTGGCAGGAGCAATCTGGTCAGCAATCTGTTTTCAAGGTTAGTGTCAAAGCTAATCCACTAAAACAAAAACTTGCTCGGCTATCAGCTGATTAGGGGAACCATGCCCACCACTGGAGTGGGCAATGCTAATTATCGCTTGTCAGACATGCAATACTGAATTTATCATTTGTAAATCTAGAACATCCACTTTTTAATCCTTTGTACTTTGTTTAAAAAATTCTGTGGTTTCCAAAAAGTTCATTTATTACATGTATTTAAAACAAACCTACCTTCAGAATGGGAATGTTGCTCTGTTCTGCCAGGAAGACGGCACGGTTGCAGAGTCCAGCGATTCTGGCCAGAGCCGCCCAGGTGGCAGAGCTTCTGTCGAACGAGGTGCCGCTCTGGTTCTCCGTGGTGTCGGCCTCGTGGATCTGGTTGTCGAACCACATGTGGGCCACGGTCATTCTGTTCTGGGTCAGGGTGCCGGTCTTGTCTGAGCAGATGGTGGAAGTGGAGCCCAGCGTCTCCACGGCTTCCAGGTTCTTCACCAGGCAGTTCTTCTTGGCCATACGCTTGGCGGTCAGGGTCAGACACACCTGGTGGTGGATTTACCTGGATCAGTTAACAGGTAAGACCTTTTGAGAAGAAAATAAACAAAAAAAGAAAACAGCCAGACTCACGGTGACAGTAGCCAGGAGACCTTCTGGCACGTTGGCGACAATGATACCAATCAGGAAAATGACGGCCTCCAGCCAGGTGTATCCAAGGATCAGGGACAGGACAAAAAAAGACACACCAAGGAATACTGCCACGCCGGTGATGATGTGGATAAAATGTTCGATTTCGATGGAAATAGGGGTGCGTCCAACTTCCAGTCCAGAGGCTAGTGTAGCGATACGACCCATGACGGTACGGTCTCCGGTGCTGATCACTATACCACGGGCAGTTCCTGCAAAAACAATACAGGCTAACCATTAAAATTTCTGTTCCTAACATATTTAGATGTTTCCTGTCCCTCTTACCTTCAACACAGTTGGTAGAAAAAAAAGCAATGTTCCTGGTCTCTAAAGGATTCTCATTGGAGAAGTCTGGAGTACGGGTCTGAGGTTCTGATTCACCAGTCAGGGAGGAGTTGTCCACCTGAGACACAAGACAACAGCAGCAATTGATTTAAAAAAAAATCACTTTTTTTTACCATTTACAACATTTTCTAAGGATTAACTGACAAAATTTGTAATGAATGGCACCAAAATAAACCAACTAATGCATGCAGACATGTTACAATAGTGCGATGCTGGAGAAGCTTTTGACATGATTTAAATCAAGTCACGTGATTAGTTATGTCAAAGAGAAAAGAATGAGATGATTTGAGTCAAACTTTCTCAAGTGCAAAAAAATCAATACATTTTTAGGTTGTTTTTTTTCCGGTTTTTAGGAGAAAATTACTTCTTTCAGTTGTGCCCACCTTGCAGCCGTGAGCGGAGATGATTCTCAGATCAGCAGGAATCCTGTCGCCTCCTTTCACCTCCACTAAATCGCCGACGACCACGTCCTCAGCGTTGAGGCTCTTTTTCTCACCGTCACGAACGACCAGGGCTTGCTATGAGACGAGACGCAACAAACGACTTATTGCCATTCGCACAAAAAAAAAAAATAAATAAATACGTCTCTGTAGGTGCGACAGTTCCTATTTCTTTTTATCCAGGGTTCCTACAGTTTAAGGCAAGTTAAATTTAAGACTTTTTAATGCCAAGTGAAATTAAATTTCAGACCAATTTCACAATAAACACAAAGGACAAAAAAAAAAAAAAACTGGCAGAAAGTCATGTATCAAAGTACCATAGTTTCAGTTGAAGTATTCAAATATTCCTAATCAACAAATTGTTTTTAACCATATCCAACTGCTTTTTTGTCAAATGTAGCAAAAGCCTTCTTAGCAGTCAGTTTTAAACTTAATTTTATTCCTGGAAATTCTCTAACGACCTGAAATTTGGAGTTTTAGAACCCACAGTGGGGTCTTCACCCCAGTTTGCTTTAGATGAAACCTTAAAGTGCCTGTGAAATCTATTTTTTTTGTAAGAAATGTGAATGTATTTTTGGAAAGACAACATTATTAACATATTGTGAAATGAATTTCACACTGCTCAGATGGACAGTTGTTGAGATAGTTGCATGAGAAGCAACAGAAAGTGATGTCAAAGAGGAATGTCTGAACGTGAACGTTTAAAAAAATGTTACCAATTATTTTAATATTTGAGACAAACTGCAATCATCTTATTTACAATGTGTTAACATTTTTAAGACTTCTGAAAGGTTGATTTAAGACATTTTAAGGCTAATTAAGGCCTTATTTGTGGATCAGTGAAAAATCAATTCCTTTTAAGACGTTTTAAGGATCCACAGGAACCCTGTTATTGCAATTATGAAGGGGCACCTGAGGGACCAGGTTCTTGAAGGAGTCCATGATCTTAGAGCTCTTGGCCTCTTGATAGTAGGAGAAGCAACCAGTGATGATGACGACAGCAGACAGCACAACACCTAAGTACAACTGAAAACACAAACTTCAATTCATACTTGGATTTTTCCCTCACACACGTTGACAGATTTATTATGAATGCTAAATTTCCCTCACGTTATCATTTGCAGGCTCCTCCTCCATTGCAGCCTGAATACCATAAGCCAGGAAGCAGAGGATGGCACCGGTCCACAGCAGCATGGAGAATCCACCAAACATCTAGATGAAAACACAAACAGGTCAGATTCAAAGTCCAAAATTCTTCAGAGACTCGCAACAGTGCGAGTGTGGGATCTTACCTGTTTACAGAATTTCACCCACTCTGGGGTGGTGGGAGGAGGAGTAAGGGCATTGGGCCCATCGCGGGCTAGAATCTCAGCAGCTTTTGCACTAGACAGACCCTAAAATTAGGAAGAAGGAAAAAAAATGTTAAATGTTACATTCCAACATTTCTTGGATTGTGATTTTGAGATATCGGCGTCCTAAGAAACACCAGGTTTCATCATCACTGTGCTAGCAAACTCACTGAAACATATTTCAGTCTAGAGGGGAAAGCTGCTTGTTGCCTAGCGACACAGCATCAACAGAAAAACACTTCATCATTAGATAGCGGGAAGAACGCTTCAGGAGTAAAAACGAGGTAAATGAGATCATCCAAAAAAATAAAAAAAATCAGGGCAAAGGGGGCTTCTAGGGCTCAGAAACGCATGCTTGCTCACACGTGCAGAGCTCGCAGGCCCTAATTAAAAGCACTGATTAACTATTCTCCTTGATCTTTGCAGCATGACCAGAAGCACATTTACATGAGGAGAGAGGGCTCCCTGGAGCGTTTGATTAAACTGTCGGCGCTCTTTTTAAGCCTGTTTCTTTAGGAGCACAGTGAACTGAAAAATGTCTGAACGTCCAATAAAAAGTGGATTCTGAAACCATTATTTGACTGTTTCACAGATTCTTCTTACTTTAATGCGTTGCCATTGTGTCAGCAAGGGAACCAAAGTCCTTGGGGTCCAAATCAAATGGAGGCATTAACTTAAGGATTCTTTTTCAGAAATTCTATTAAAACTCTTTAGACACTTTCATTATTCACAACAGCAAAGTGATGCAACCAGTGATGGTTAATTCTTCCTTTCACCATTTTGTACTTAACATTGTTAGTTTTTTCCACTTTATACTTGTGCTCATTAGGGTTGGGCAATATTGGCAAAAAATGAATCACGATTAATTGTGGTGTTTAGCCGATAACGATTAATTAGACGATTAATCCCTTGGAGTCCCTGAACACCCTTATGTCCTGGTCACATGACCAATTTAGTGGTAAAGATTTGCTCTTCATAAAAATCTGTTCCAAACTGTGTCAAAATTACAGACTTCAGGCTGTACATCAAATTTTAAATTGTGTTGATAGATAAATAAATTACAGAACTTTTTTTTAATGTTCATCATATTTGAAGCAGAGAGGAGCACCGAGCAGACTCTGCCTGCTGGCATTAATCATATTAACTGTCAAGTGCCAAAAAATAAATCGATTTATGTTTTACTGACAATTAATTGCACACGATACGATTATGCCCAACCCTGGTGCTCATGTACTCATTTAATGCCTAATTCACGTTCTGTAGTAAGTTTACTTTTGGAGCCAGAAGTTAGGATTAGGGGTTAAGACACAGGGCTAGCACCCTACCACCCTAAAACTACACTATATACTATTGATAAAACTCCAGTAAAACCCACACACAGCAGACAGGTGTGGGCCCGATCTGGTGTCAAGCTGGCATGGCAAATAATTTCCCATCCGGATTTGGGCCAGGTCTGCCAATGATGGCAATTTTTAGGATGGCATGCCACAACTGGCCCAGATGTGGTTTGGCTTATGTGGTACTGGACCATGCAAGGGCACCCTGTCCTGTCAACAGAACAGAGAGCCCCACCTGCCAAAATCCACCGTCCAGCCAAAAGTTGTGCTATTTTTGGATAGGGAGCAGTTTGTAGCCACAGGATCAGTGGCTCCATTGACAACCACCAGCAGTAGTAACGTAGCTCCACAACACCGCCACCATCCAGCAAGCGCCCTGCCAGGGCCAGTGATCTAGGGTAAACACTGAAGATTGATACTTACATTCTCACATCTCTCTCTTGCTTGATTAAAACTGAGTAACTTCCATTTGTCATCTCCTGCTGACACCCGGTCAAGAAAGAGACCCTGGTTATTGGCAGCTCCATAGTCCTAAACGTGGATCTAGGGACTCTGACAGCCATGATTAAATGTATTCCAGGAGCCAGAGTGGGTGACTTAGAATCCTATCTGAAACTACTGGCTAATGCTAATGCTAGGTACTGTAAGATTGGGATTCATGTCGGTGGTAATGACACTAGGTTACGCCAATCGGAGGTTACTAAAATTAACGTTACTTCGGTCTGTAACTTTGCAAAGACTATGTCGGACTCTAATTTTTTTTCTGGCCCCCTACCTAACCTGACCAGTGATGACCTGTTTAGTCATATGTCCTCATTTGTCCTCATTTGACTCAATCTAGTACATTGCCCCATCCTGTGGAAGTATGAACCTGCCTCGAGGCTGTTAGCTGTCATCCAAAAAGTGTTGGTATGCCTGTTGTAGACCAGTTGATGGAAACATGAGAGTTAAGGGTAGCGCTTCCTCGTGATGTCTTCATGAAGATGATCCTTGCTCTGTGCTGGGGTCTGTGGCTGCATGACCCAGGGCACCTGTTCTCCCATGCTTGTTCTGTCTTCTTCTGAATGGGTGTTCTGAACTGTAATTTCATTGTGCTCTCTGTACGATGACAATAAAGGTCTCTCTAAAAGTTTTCATGTCCAGTTGCAGTATTTTGTTGAAAACTAAAAGCATAATGATTTTTCTTGGATATGTGAAAGTTCAAAACTATTTTGAATGTCCCACCACCCCAACCCCCAGATTAAACTTCATGAAATATCAGCCACATGAAACATTCATTAACTGAATGTCATCCGTCAGACTATTGTGAAAAAAGTGATGTTAACAGCAAATAGCAGCCAGCATGCTCCTAATATCTGATCTAATCTGCTCTAATGATGAAAGCTCTTCTCGAATATTGGATCACATTGCCGCTAGCTAACAGATTTACAACCTAGTGTGACTTTTAACCCTAAAAATGCAGGATGTTTCTGGTGAGATTGTTAAAAAAAAATTTTGACAACTTTTTACTCACGTTAGTGAGGTCTGTTCCATATTTGCGATTGAGCTCATCCAGCGTCAGCTTGTGATCATCCTGCAAGGACACAAAAGACAAGTTTGCATTAGTGGCATTTACTTTTAAAGCAGGTGTGGGTCTGATATGAAAAAAAGACGGGGACATTTATGGCTCATTGTGTGCTGACCTTTAAGTCACCACGAATTACCTTGCTAAGACAAAAACCTCAACGTAACAAACTAATTTACAAAAAAAAAGGAATGAGTAGTGCGAAAGAGAAGAAAGAAACAAAGGAGGTGGATATAAATGACAACACGAGCCATAAGTAGGAGGAAAAACTGAAATAACTTTAAAGTGACTTTACACACACATCTAACACTTGCAGAATAATTAAAAATACTTACAATTGAAAATAAAGGCCACAAGTGTGAGACTGGACAATCAGATCTCACATCCTCGTGAGAGTGAAAATCAAAGGCAAAGCCTCAACACTTACCATATCCACTTCCTTCTTCAGTTCATCCATATCCTTCTCCTTCTTCCCTTTCCCCTTCCCCTTCTTCTTGCCGCCCTGTTCCGAGGTCGCAGCCAGCTCATACTGCTCTCTTCCGTCCTGGAAGCACAATGAGGGAAATTTATGTAACTTTATGGATCATTTAGAACAGAATTTATAATTTTAATTCTAACCATCTTATATTAATTTATCTGCAGGTTTACTTGTGGTTCCTGGAGTTTCTAAAAGTAGAATGGGAGGCAGAGCTTTCAGTTATCAAGCTCCTCTCTTGTGGAACCAACTTCCAGTTTCTGTCCGTGAGGCTGACACTCTGTCTATTTTTAAGACTAGACAATAGACTTTCGTTTTTGATAAAGTTAGTGTTGGCATAGGTTTCCTGAGTTATTGCTATGAACTTAAGACTGCTGGAGGGCAAATTGAACACATTTCCTCCCTCTGCTGCTGTCTTTACTCTCCAAGTTTCAATCACTGCGATCAATAGCCTGTTGAAACTACACGTGGACCAATTACAGGGCTCTACAGTGCGACCAATTTGGTTGCAAATGTGACCTGATTTCCTAATAGTGCGACTAAAAAAAACGTCCAGTCGCACTGGTACGACCAATTGTTCGAGGGGGAGGGGGAGCAGTCGCCTGCTGAAAAAAGTTTCCATGTTCCATAAAAAATAATCCAGCAGTATCAATGGTCGCCCGCCGACAATCTGATGCAGTCTTTCTCAGACTGATAACTCTAACTAGCATTTCACAATGTACATGAATGTATTGTAATAGGAATTAATTGTCCTTAAATTGAATTGTAATTATATTTAGAATTTGAACTTGTTTTTTGTACAGTAAACTGAAGTAACTTGTTGTTAATTGACTACATAAATAAACTGAATTCATTTGAATTATTGTTGACCATTACTGCTAAAGTCAAATTGTAAATGGCTTCACAGATGAACAGTTACAACTTTCAGAGTAAATTACACATCGTCCAACTAAATGGTCTGAATAAAATAAAGAAAATGGGCTTTAATTCATGTTAGATTGATTTTGGTCATGAGCAATGAGCAGTTTAGATCAACTATGACTCAGATGTCGCTTTAGAAAATCCCTTTTCCAGCAGCACAGGATTCGCAAAATGTTTCCCGGCACAGTCTAAAAAGGATCATTATGGATATTTGTGCAGCTGATGCTCAGCCACCACCAAACATCCTGCACTGTGAAATAATTCCCTGAATGTTATCGTACTCTAATCTCAAACTGCCATTGAGTTCTCGAGGCACTTTGGGCTCTGCAGATTCAGGGCAAATAGGTAGCAAAAATATGTTGACACACAGAATGTAATACAACCTCCTAAACAGTCACAAATATCAATGCATGGACATAATTTGCAAATATTACTGTTTTTTTGCACTTTTAATAAATGTCCAATTCTTACAAAATGTTTTTACAAGTTTTAAATGGATCTGAAAATTTAGATCTATATGGATCAACCTAAATAATTTGAACTTTGGTGTCAACTCGGTTTTACGCATTACAAAGAAACATTACAATATTTTTAAAGGCACAGTGTGTAGGATTTGTTGTTTTCAGTGACATCTAGTGGTTGAGTGGTTGAATCATCCTCCCTGGTCCTCCCCCCACCCCCCACTTCCAAACGCAAAGGTGTCCTATGGTGTCTCTCAGGTGTCAAAAACCTTTGATAATTCCAACCACGATGTCTACCAGCAGCTTCGGGGCTAGTGATGTTTCAAGTGGTAAGATTATGAGCTTTAATAAGTAAAATTATCCCAGCTACAATGACAGACAACAAATATTACATTTATAGTTTTACAACTAAAACCGTTTTTGACGCCGCCACCGCAGTTTGTCCTTCATGAGCCTTCGTAGACAAGATGGCGGCTGCTGTGTGGCGACCCGCAACCATGGAGATATAAACAGCTTTTTATAAGGTAAAAATAATAAAACAAGGTCTTTGTCTGCAATGATTAGACATGTTTTTTATTAGTGTCATTAGTGATTATCTCAATTTCGGCTAAAAGACTTGACAAAATCCTACACACTGTTCCTTTAAAGCATAAAAATAATGCTTTTATTTCAATGAAAATTCATTACATAGCTAATGCTGGTATAAAAGACAGTGGGTGCAATCTTTCAAAGAAAGCTAAACTTCATGTAAATATACAAAAATAAACTTCATATAAATATGACCATGTATATAAAACAACATTCTTTAAATATTTCTTTACAGGAAAACAGAAGAAACACGACCAAATTCAAACAACTGCCCTGACGTCTTTTTTTATTCTTTCTTGGGAAGTAATACAAAATGCTCCTTTTCCAAATGTTTTAGTTTTCATTCAACTGAGATTTAAAATCCTGAAAATCTTGAGTACACAACCTTGTTCAACCCAGAAACCTGTGACCCAAAGATAATCAATAAAGTGCTGTCAACGTGAGAGAAAAGTGAAAAAAAAAACAGGCGGTCCCTCACAAGTCGAACACTGAGATGTGATTTCCAAAAGCCTGTTGGACAAACAGCATGTTTTATAAAAAAAATAGCAACATTTAATATTGACGTTAGTTCCAATTAATCAATAAAAATTGCTTCTTTCTGAACTGTGTGTTTAATAGTGAAACTCCATCTGGATTATTTTTTGTTCAAAACTTACAAGTCATTAAAAGTTCCAAAAGCTCAGTTAAAACAAATAAATTTGTCCATATTGAACCCAAAGGAGGAGTAAAGTGTTGAGATGATTTCAGTCAGTTTGGAGATAAGGCTTTCTTTGGCTGCGACAGATTAGACTGGAACTGATTACACTTTTGCCAGGAAGAATGTCACAGTCACCAGCAGCTTTTCTAAACATAACCTCGACAGCTTTGTGGCTTAGCCGGTCTCCAGAGAGGAACAATGAAGCAGTCATTTATCGAGAATCCCACTCAGAACGGGGACATTTTGTTGCTTTTAGCTCAGACTGAGGGAGAAACTCTCTTACTGTAGGCAGGACGGATTTGAAATGAGCACGATAATTTCAGTTTAGATGGAAAACGCACTCTTCGAGTTAGCTCGTGTGACTGGTCTCACACTTGACATCCACTATCGCACACTAAGGCTTGGCTTCAAAGTGACAGTCAGCCTGTCCTATCTCTACACTGCTGCTCCCCCCACAGATGTCCCCTCTCATTATCAGCAGTCAGTGTCGCTGACAGAGCAACAAAAGCACAAAGACTGAGTCTTCTAGATGGCTTTAGGCCAAGAAAGGTAGTGTGATGAAGAAGAGGTAGCACATGACGAAAAGAAAATCAGGGGGAAAAGACAATGTTTCGATTGCAAAATTAGACCATTTCAAGTCCGTTTCACAGACTCGGTAAATGCAGCATGGCACGATTTCTACAGATCCGTGTGTCATTAAACGCCTCCAACTACTCAAGCTCTCGCAGCAGGTTCAATAAGATGAGTATAATGAGCTTACAGCAGGTTTAGGAGCACCAGATGGTCAGAATGACCCCTCCTAATGAAAGAGCGTGGGCATCCTAACGCCAATAAAAGAAAGTTAATTTCTTTGTGGGGTCCTGGGATACGATTATGAACAACTAATATTTTACCTGCTGTATATAGCTCCATGAGTGACTCACATTTGGAGAAATGCTGTTTAATTTACAAGCTAACAGCTAGTCTACCTATACCCTATGAAATCAGTTTTATTTTTTTATTCTGAGTTTGATGATGTAACCATGTTTGTACCATTTGCAATTAATAGTCAGAAAAACTGTTGTGTGTTGATGACGTAGTTTCGTATGCTACACTCTCACAATCAAGCGCGCATTAAGCATATAACATAACAGTTACGGTAGGCGGCATGGAGTAGCTATCCCTAAAACTATAAAATTGTTGAAACAGCACCATTAACCGGAGAATGAAGGATTCTATAAAATGCAGACTGAGGCAACGTCGGCTACAGCAAACTCTCCTCCAGCAAATGGTGGAAACAAATCTACACAGCTGAGAATCCACGATGCATTCAATCTGTCTCTTACAAGTGGCAAAGCAAGCACTGGAAGGAGATAAAACGGGCCGTGGCATATTGCATAACTACAGATTTTCTGCCACTCCATATTGAGGAAAACATTTCAATTCACAGCTTACTATTTAACCTGTTAAAATGAACAAGTTAGTTTGACTGATGATTAGTAAGTGTCATTTTTTAACACAGGGTAATTGATTTCAGGTCAAAAACAGCCAAGTGCAATTGCTGTCTATTAATCGTCATATTAATGGTCACTACTAAATGCCACAATTAAACATGATGAACATTTCTTTTGCCAATATCGCCCAACCCCTGACAGGGGCATTAGTCCCCAAGATACCAAATTCTCTCAATTTATGGTGGAATAATAACGTTTAACAAATTAAAAGGTAAAACAGGGGTAGACATGGCCATTGTTTAGGTTGTCCGTGACAACCTATTTTCATTTTGGACAACCAGATCCTGTCTCCTGGTTGTCCGTTGGACAACCAAGCAAAAAAGACCTTGATTAAAGTTCTCTGCCGTGGGTGTTCGTCATTTGTATAAATGAAAGGGAGAAAAAACTTGATAAAACCAAACAGAACACTAAACTGTAACTTTTAATAAGGTTAATAAGGTAATAAGGTTAATAAGGTTTTCAGGTTGTCCGCTGGACAACCTGAAAAATTTCCTTACGTCTACCCCTGATATTAAAGATGAATATTTAAATGCTCCAGATTATAGTAAAGATATCTCTGTGTATGATCTTAATTTTCCCCCATAGTCAGTTTTCTCTTTAGCTGCATTTCCATTGACCATGGAAATGTGCAAATTAGAATTTTGAAAATAAATTTGCTCAATGGAAACACGTCAATTTAGGAAAAAAAAGTTTTTCGACAAAATCATTTTGCGCTAGGATGAGCTGGTTTTTGGGCTGTATCGAAAATTGTTTATTTGGCAAAACTGCAATGGAAACACTTTTTTCGCATCATGGGAGTCACGTGGTCAAGTACCAGCTGTTTCTACTGGTGAAAAAGACAACGACGAAGAAGATAACAGGAAGTAGAAGTAGTAGTAAAATCACCAAAGTAGTAAAAGAAAGTAGTTA